TTGTAACTTTAGTTTTTTTCTTTTTTTTGTTGTAATATATATATATATATATATATATATATATAATTTGAAGTAGTTACTTGTCCTCCTTATTGAAGTTGGGATTAATTACGGAAATTTCACCTTTTAGTTTACTTATTACCATTATCCCCTATAAGTTTTACAAATTTATAAACTTTCTCATTTTTTCATGCATCACATTAATGTATCTCGCGCATCACATTATTGAATCTCGCGCATCATATTAGTGCATCATGTATAAAATGTACATCGCGCATCGAATTAGTCTATCTCGAGCATCAGATTAGTATATCGCACGCATCAAATTAGTGTATCATGTATAAAATATACATCAGATTAATGTATCAGGTATAAAAGGTAATTATCTTACTTAACGATTAATGTACTCGCGCATTAAATTAATGTATTAGCACTTATATTATTATATCCATTTTGAGGGATTATTGTTATTATAAACTTTTAATAGATAAATTGTAATTTTATCTTAAAAGTGTGATTTCTGTAATTTTCCCAAATTAATAAATAGACTAAAGTGATTATTAATTTTCAATTTTATCCTTAATAAATATGGAGAAAAATTAATGTGGTAAAAAAAGATAGTAGCATCGAGGTCAAAAAAATAGAAAGAAGATAATTTTATTATATTATTTTTTAAATTAATTAATTTCTTCTTGAAGGGCGTAAACCAAACAAAAATTACATCACTTTATGAGCTAAATACTTATAATACACTCTAGTTTTCAATATTATGAATCTTATCAAATTTTGGTGCGTCCAGACACGTATATTTCGAGATACATGAGCTCAAAATTATGTACAATTTGTTCTGAATATACTGTGTCCAAGTGGATTCACATGTAAGATACGTAATACATTTTAAAGATATATGTAATAAATAATATATACAAAAAGGGTTAAATATACCTTTCTACTATTAGAAATAGTTTAAATATACCTTTCGTTATACTTTTGAGTCACATATACCCCTAGGCCCTATTATATTCTCGATTCAAATAATACCCTTCCACTATATTTTTGGAACAAATTTTGCCTTTAATTTAACGAGCAAACACATGTCAAGCTCTGAATCAAATAACGTAAGTCACTAATTTTAAATTTTCTATTTTTCTTAAAAGTCTACCATTTAACCCAAAACAAATTATGGCGTTGAACTTACAATTGAAAGGGAAACATTGATCTAATCCATAAAACTTGCTGAAATTGAGTTTTCTAATCTAATTATTCCAGGTCCACTTCATGAACATTAAACAAAAAAATTCACTAGCAACAGCCTATTATCCCTTGTATATGGCTAATTACATGGAGTATATAAATGTAAAAAAAAAAAAGTGATTCTATTTTCCTAGTAGACAAGACCTATTCATTAACTAACTATAGGAAATCAATTCTTCCATATGAATCCGTCCAATTATGTCATAAACACAATCAATATTATACATGAGTAATTCACTATATGTTTTTAATTAGCAAAACATATTTTGGAATTTGAAAAAATCAAAAATATTTTTCTAAAGTTCTCTTGGTCTATTAGAGAGGGGCATGGTATTCATACCTCAATTATGAACATGCAACCCATT